TGAAAAGGATGTTAAAAAGAAAAGCTCCCTCATTCCAAGAGAGAGAGAGAAATCTCTGTCCTTTGGATTTTGTGGGGCTCAAACATGGAGCCCTATTCAATCAATGGGACCTGCAATTAGAAACTTAGTGTGAAAGCTAAGCCCTTTTGATGGACCCATTAGTGGAAATTTTGGTGCCAAGAAAATAAAGCTCTCTTTTGTAATAATTTTAAAATATGGTTTCAAAAATTTTAAAATTTTTTCCTCGTAGTTTGTGGTTATAGTAATGGCCTCTCACATGGGGTTGGTGTAGCTTTATATCAATCAAAAGCACCAAATGCAAAGTGAAAAAGATTTCTAGCTTTCTTTTTCTTTAGGGTTTTTTCTTTTTCTTTTTCTTTTTTTTTTAATGGTTTGGTTTCTCTGCTGATTGAAAATATGCTCTATGTGTGACAGGGAAGCTTGGTTGCATGGTTTGCCTAATGATTCTTCTAAGGACCTTTCTTCGTCTCTCGAGGTACCCCACTTTCTCTGTCTCTTCCGATACGATATATTGTAGGAGAAAATATCCAAACTTAGGTCGAAAAAGAATCTGAGTAGCGCGTTGATTTTTCTGATAGAGGGTAACCATCCATATACATTTTAACCCTAAAGATATTGTCGGGAGAAAAAATAAAGTATAGATAAGATAAAAAAAAAACAAAGAAAAGTTCGGATGTGACCTGCCACTAAATTGAAACAATAGTCCATAGAAAACTATATTTGACATGATCTTGAATCATGCTGGCTACCGACCAGGATATTGAACATTCTGCGATTGGTCTGATACTAAATGTTGTAAAAATGCGAGATTGAGCTTAGATATGAGACTCTAGAGCTGTGTAATACCTAGTTAGGGAGATGAACAAACCAACTAAATTCTAAATTGAGAGTTGCTTTTAGCTTTGGTGATCTTGAAAAAGGAAGTATATATATTCAAATGTAGTCGATAGTTTTATTCTTGTGTGGGTTCAAATCTTTAAATTTAAAACTTTTCAAGATCCTAAGTTGAAGTGAAGACATACTTTTTGTTGTCATGCTGTTAATAGTAATCCACACTTTTTTTTGCTTGTTTTTCTTTTGTTTTGAAACAGAATGATATGGATCCAAAGTGCTCAAACAATGAGAGGCTATCAGAAATAAGCTCATCGACAGATCTTTGTGGAGGGACAAATAATCCTCAGAAGCCAAATTTGGAATTCACATTAGGAAGGCCAGTTTGATGAAACCCAAATTAAAACAGATGCTTAGTTTCTACTCATTTTGATATGATTATATCTCAAAACAAAAGTTGAAGTTGAAGTTAGTGCCTCTGAGGAAGGAAAAAAGAAAAAAAAAAGAAAAAGAAAGTAAAAGAAAGAGAAAAAAGAGAGCTAAAGAAAGACAAGCAGACAAGAAAGACAGAAAGCAACAAAAAAGCAGGTCCTAATTCCTATCAACCTTTGAGGTCCTAAATCATCTTATTTTATTTAAGCAATTAAATATATGAATCTAATTGATTTTTGTTTGTTTTGCACTCAACAGAGAGAGAGAGAGAGATTTAACTGCAAAAAAAAAAAAAAAAAAAAAAAGTAAATGAAGGAGAGCCCTGGCATTGGCAATTGTAATGAATGGAGAAGCAACTTTACATTTATGAATGATATTATTTTTGTATTTTTTTGGTTTTTTAGTACAAAATGAGAGAAGATTTGAACCTACAATCGAATAATTGTAAATTTACTATAAGATTGTGTCACATGCATTACACAAAAAAAGGAGGGAAAAGAGAAAGGGTTGAGAATATAAACAAAAAGACTGAGAAACAAAGAGATTAAGAATAATAAATAAGTGATGAGAAAGAAAAGATGGTAAAATGACAAAAGTAGGGGTCGCAAAAGAAGATTTTGAGCTTGCTTTTTAATACCCATTGTGCAGATTTTATACCCATAAATGTAATTTTTCAAAAGGAAAAGCCTACTTAAAAATCTCAATTGCAATATGCTGTATTGATCTTCAAGGGGGGAATCAACTTTTTTTTTTTTTGGGTTCTTTGTTAGCTTTAACACTTAGGGAATGGTGCTTCCCACTCATGCATGGATCTCTTTTCTTTTATTAAAACGAAAACAAAAAAAACTATTCAATATGATTGAAGTTTTAAATTTTCATGGGTTTAAGATATTTAGTGTTAAAAAAAAAAACATGTTTTCCATTGTCATTTGTGTCAAGTTTTTGTAAAATATTAATCATTTGCCAACATGAATGTAACTCAGTGATAAGTGACATATCTCTCTAAGTAAAGGTCATGAGTTCGGATCCTTCCATCTTTTAAAAAATGAAATGTCAATAATACTAAGTAAAATTAAAATATGACGACGTCGTGGTTGTGCATACATAACTCAAGTCGCATTAGCTAGATTTCTACCCTTCCTAACCAACGAGCGAAATAGGTCAATAGGTCAGTGTCTTTTAATCAAAGAACATAAGGAATAAATAATATACATAAAAACTAAATTGAAACTTAAATATAGAAACAAAAGTGGAAACCAAATATTGATAACAAGGGAAATTGAAGGAAGGTTGTTGGAAAAAGAAAGTGAAAATATGTATTTTTAAGATCAAGGGGGAAAAAAACAGTAAAAAAAGAGGTATAAGGAATTGTCGTGTTGTTTTGTTTTGTAGCCAAATGTTGGTTAGTGTGGATACACCATATGTTGTCTTTTGGCACCACATTTGGCCAACACTACCACTTGAGTGAAACAATAACTGTACAATTGGGGCCATGTCACTGTCAGGGTACCCCACCCCTGCCATGTCACCCTTCTATCTTTTGTTCTTTTTAAGAGATATCGGAATCATTTTATTAATTACGTGCGAGAAACATTAAAAAAAAAAAATTGATGGAAGTTTATATAAAAGCATTCCAATTAAAAAAAATTGGAAGAGATATCATAATTTTTATAGTAATGGATGGAATATCGTCCATGTATTCTGTTATGGATGAGAAAATCTCTATTTTCTACCGTTCGAATTCTCTGAAGAAATATATCCTATATTCGAAAGGGAAAGTATTTGCCCTAAGATTTTCTTCTATAAATAGAAAGTAAATACTCATTATAAAGGTACACTACAAGTACTCCATACTATTCGAACTACTCTGATTCTAACTTTAGCATCAGAGTCTGTATGACAAGAGTCACACCGATCTTTAGTGCTATTCTATTTTGCAGATCTCATCGATCCCTTTTATTCTAGAAAATTGGTATGAATTTGGCGGAATCACAGGAGGACAAATTTCTGCATCAACATATTCCATAAATTTTTTCACCACGTCACATCACTCACCAATAAGTTCTTTCATTTAGTAATTACTGGCGATGTTTGGGTTAGCTTACGCGGAATAACTTATATTGTGTTAATAAAGATGGTTTGAATCTTTGGATTGACTTCAAAAATCATTTGTTTTACCTTTTTACTGAGGTGTACGTTTGAGTTATATTTGGCTTTAAAGTTTTGACTTCATTTAATTCAACCTTAAAAGAAAAAACATGTAACGTTTATTGCTAATCAAGTGGTGTTTCATTGTTAACATTTCAATTATCTCAAGATCACCATTCAAACCGACTACGTTTGGATACAAATATGCAGTTAAATTATGGCTAAATTAAAAGCTCATTTACTCAACTTTGGATAATTAAATCTTACTTTATAGTTGTTTCTTTTGGTAGTTTATTCCTCATTTTGGGCATGAACTAATGGTACGTTGAGTTGAGATTTAATTTTGTTTTAATGTTTTAAAATCCAATCTCGAGTTGTATTATGTTTAGATAGTTTCCAATTTTTGTTCATGAGGGGGTTATTTTAAAATTTCTTACCTAAACATTCCATCAAAATGTTGGGTTCCCACCTTTAATTCATATTAGCGGCAAAAATTAATATATTTGCGCTAACAAATTGTATCCGAGTATAGTTCAATTAATTTTTCTTAAAAGATAAAAAGGTTGGATTCCACCGATAAAAAGGTTGGATTCCACCTCGCATTTGTTGAACTAAAAAAAGGAAAAAAAGAAATTATGATTTCAAATTTTATCTTTATTTGGAAAGTTTTACTTGGAAGGAGGTTTTGGTGCTTCTTGTGCTTGTTATCAAATTCAGAAAAAGATAGAAAAGGACTAATCAATTGGAGCTTTATAATATTTCGCTTTAATGTTGTTTTTTTTTTTTTTTTACTTTTATTTATAAACTTTAGTAGGATTTTCCATAAAGGATTTCATCACTTATTTGATCTAAAGAAAGATACCAAGGTAAATATGCTTCATATCCAAAGCCAAATTAAGGTACATGAAGCGTGAATTAGAACATCTTGAAACAACTATTAAAGAGAGAGACAAAAAAAGAAAAGAAAAAAGAGTCATCCATCTTTCCAACGTATATTTTCTGTTCAATCTCTTCCAATAAGAATATATTCAAAACTTTATCTACGGACGAAGTTGCCTTCTCCCATTAATATGAACATAGGTTAACAGTTAAGACATCTTGTTCTTTTTCTAGATGACGGAAGTTCAATCTCACATCTCTATATTTGTTATACTAAAAAGAAAAAGTTGTCTTTTCTCCAAAGGTACCGTTTCTCCCATTCTTAATATTTTAAAAATAAAAAATTGTATATATGAAAGCTTAATAAATTATTGAGATGCATGCCCTTAATTTTGTCCTTCTTTTGTATTTTTAAAAGATTGTATATACGAAAGCTTAAAATGATTGATAATGCATGAATTAATTTTGTTCCCAACCGCGGTCTCATGAACTGAACTTCGTTGCCTTCCTGCGCGCGAAGCGAATTGGCGCTGTGCTGTGGGTCAGTTTCGGGGCGGGGAGCGAAGAGAGACCAGAAGAATGATTCATTTGGATCGACGAGCTTTTTCTCAAAAAACTTCAATTGGTACACGCAAGAAATAGGCCAATTCRGCAGCCTTTTGCTCAATTTCTCGTGGGGTCAGATTCTGATCGGTACGAGTCAAGGGAACGGGCCCCAAAGGCTAGCACAAGCGAGCGCTCCTAATTCCATTTCACCTGAGTGAGGGTTAGTTCCTTTCGTCCTTCTATCTACGCAATTCCCATTATTCTAATCATTGAATTAGGTAGGAAAGCGAGGCTTAGCGGTCGAAGTACCGCATAAGCAAGAAAGTCAGGAGATTCTTATTAGTGGAAAATAGCCCTAGCGTCATTCACTCCCGGTGAAATAGCAGCCTTCAAGCTGGGCTGGGGCTCTCCGCTCCCTACCAGAAATCGGGCTTGAAGCTCTCGCCTTACCAACGAGCCGACAGCTGATGGCTTTCTTTGTATATTAAAATTTTTGAATTTATGATAACATGAGCATATTTAAATGGCTATTCGTATCTATATTCTTTCGTGGTCTAAAGTTCAACTCCTCCTACCCCTAATTTATTAGAAAAAGAAATTTTGAATTTATAACATTCTTGTTTATCTTTTTTAAAAAAATTCTAACTGATCCCATAAAAGATATGTTCTAACTAGAGTTATGAGATTTGAAGAATAACGATTTTCCATTGTGTGCATCTCACTTGAAATTTTATTTTAACGGTCATTTCGTTAACGGTGTTAATGATAGTGCCTAAATAGAAGTCCAATCAAAACTTTTTTAAGTTTTTGGAACTAAATATATTATTAATATTTAAAATGCATAAACTAGGTTAATAATATAATGATTAAATTATAAATTTAATCCTTAAATTTTGATAGTTGTATCTATTTGGCCCATAAATAAATTTTAAATAGCTACAATTGTGTCCCTCAAACTTCCAAATTTGATTTTAACACGTCTTTACTTACCTTTATTTAAATATTAATGTGGGATGACTAATTTGATCAATGAATGATGTATTTACACGACCTAACTCAAAGGAAAACACACCAAAAACTAGGATAACATAAAATTAGAACGTCCAAAAATTTGATGGAACAGAAAAATAATTTTTAATGAGATTTTTTCTTTTTTTGTCAATATAGTTTAATTTTATTCCGCTAACATACTCCATTGTACTAATTCTTACCATATTATATCATTTGCTAATTTAATAGGTATGCCATATTATTTATCAAAGTGAATGATCACTAATTCAATCCACATGTCACATGAGTTATTATTCACTATTATTTGACAATTTGATTAGTAAATAAAATATCTAATATCATTTTAAAGATTGATAATTCGATGGCTAAGTCAATAAATAAATTATCCAAAATTAAATGTGACCTCATGTGTACCATTTTGATGGGAAATTTGTCAGCAAATTTTTCAAAGTCAAAATACATGATAATTTAAAAAGGATTTCACACGCGTTATTGAGTTGTGTAGTTCACTACAAAGAGAAATAAGTCCCCTAAATTACTTGACCAATAACAGCACGCGTTTTTATGACGCACATAATCGAGAGAGTAATTCGACACGAGGATGGTAGCGGTTCAATCCAATTAAAAGCACTCTTTCTCTTTCTTCTAAGTCTACCT